AAGTGGAGACTTCTAATACTCTCTGCCGCGATCTGTGAATTCGTAGCTGAATTTTACTAGAAGTGCATTCAGAGCTCCCCTAGCTACTTCTGCTCTTCGTGATTTTGAGGAAAGCTTTGAGTGCACTTGCTCAGCTGCAAATCCATATGTAAAAGGTAGTTACTGAGGATGTTACAGGGTCTTTATCCTTCTAATTCTCTATCTTGCTTAGAGTTAAGTCATGATTGAAATTACATACAGTAGTTTTGTAATTGAAGTGCTGATTATGTAGAGACCTCCAAATCGGTTTCATGTGGATCACAACCAATCTTCAGAAAAACTAAGTAACACTTACCTGTCTTGCATGCTGACTCCTAGATAGCAAATATAATGGCCTTGCATATCTGAGGGGTTTTTGTGGTGAAACTTAAGACAATTAATATGATGGTGCAATGAAGGAAGTAAACTATTCTGCCCATCTTTCCTAATACTGTTAAGTCATATTTTTAATCTGGAATGCAGACTAATATGGAACATCCCCAAAGTTAGCTTGAATTTGGATTTGATGCTACATTTCAAACTTGTCAAAACTATGAGCAACTAAATTCAGATTTGGGTATGTTTTCTTTTCCCCCTAAATGGATTATCCAAGGACATGTGGGAGGGAGGGAATTTCAGAATGGTAATATGGTTTACCTATTTTTTAATTTCATTTACTATAGTTAAAAAAAATCTGTTTGTACTTGGAACAATGGATTACCAAAGACATCCTTATCACCTACTAGTCTTTATTAAGAAAAACTTAAATGTGATGGGCATCTAACCAAAACCCATCTTAGTGATGGTATGGGAATTTCTTGAATAAAATCAAAATATTATTCATTCTGTCATAATAAAAATTACCCAGTTCCAGATTTTGTGCACTCGTTCATTAATGTTTTAAAATAACAATGGAATGAGATGGCAAACTTTTTTAAAAGATTTTTTTCAAAAGTAATTTAGTTGAGTAACTTCATAGCTGAGTCTAAGATGTCCTCAATACAGCCTTTCATTTCAGAGATCTGTTATGTTTATGCTTACATCTGAAGCAAAAATACATAAAATATATATCAAATAGTTGGTATAGTACGTACATATCAAATAAATACATCAAACAGTTGGTAGAGTAAGAAAAGTCATTGACATTTCTTCCATAATTTATTATCTATTTGTCTGTCTTAAATTCCTGTGCATATATATTAATATATCCACCTTTTCTTTAACTTGTAGATCTGGCAGTGTGGGGGAAAACTGTTATTTGTTCCCTGTTCTCGTGTTGGACACATCTATCGTCTCCAGGGTTGGCAAGGAAATCCACCCCCTGTTTACGTTGGGTCTTCTCCTACATTAAAGGTACTGTTTTGCTGCAGCCTTGAAAGGTGGTTTTTGAGTTTGGATAGCAACAGTTTTAGATAAATCTATTTAAATTATCAGTAGCAATTTAGAGAGCACTTCATCCAAAGCTATTTAATGTCTAAAGCTAAGATGGTAATCCCCATGGGAGGGAGGGCCAAGCTAGCAGTTGGTTCTGTTGAAAAGGGAATGCCCCAGCCTCACTTAATGGTAGAAAACTAAACTGGTACCAAAAAAAAAAAAAGTCTTCTATTAGTGATGTGAATTGATTAACATTTTGATCAAACGAGCACCAGGACCAGTACAAGGGAGGGTAGGGGGAAATGGGCATAGTTGGGAGGAGAGACGGAGCAATGGGAGGCAGGATAGCAAATGATAGCTCCATTACTTAGTGCAGGCAAGATGTTTGTTTGCCTTGTCTGAAATTAGGAAAACCATTTCACTTTTCTGAAAAGCTGATCAAAAATATTTACTGCATATCTAAACACCTTACATGACTCTGCTCGTCTGCTTACTGAACACAACAAAACACTGCTGAGTGTTCTTAAATATTGAGTTGCTTCTCTGTTCAAGGCAACGGATGCAGGAATAGCCCTCTTTGGGCACTCTCCTATCCTCATAATAAATGTGCTTTTTTTATAGCTTGGTTCAATTTATGCTCAATATGGATTAACGTAAAACTCACAATAGTTTGTGCCTTTAGTCAGATCTATTAAGACTGTTTTAACACCAGGTCATTAACACTAGAAGAACTGTACAAAGTGAGGTGTGCACCTAGAACACATACAGGTAATATAGAGCTAAAAGCCATCAAAAAGACTGAGAAGAAAGATGTGAGGGAGAGGCTTGTTCACCAGGCGAGCTATCCATTTTTTCCCCTTCTCCAAGAAGCAATAAACTACTTAAGAAGATAAAATCTCCTTGGTGTGTCATAGCTGACCCATTTAAGACTTAATTTTTTCACCCTTAGTGGACTAATGCATATCGTTCTCTGTATTAAAACTGTAGAAGGTGAATACTAACTCTAAATTGCAGTTTTGGTACACAGCAAATCATTGCAACACTTTATTGCACCCCTAACTGAAGTCTTTATTTTCAAATAAACATTCTCTAAACTTAGAAAAAGACTTCATGCTCTCATTAAGCAAGCCAGTTTATTTTGCTGGCTTCAGTCCTAAACTGTCATTTGAAAATGATATGCATGTGTCTTGTATAAGCTGCTGAAGGTGACAAATTATTAGTGCTATATAATAATTTCATGCTGCCACTTTCTTAAGAAGAGAAATCCTTGTATTTTCTGGATTTAACATGCAGTTGCCTCTGACCTGTTGTGTGTGCTTTGAGGTAGCAGCAGTGTCCTTGTTCTTCACAGAACTATGTCAGAGTCGTAGAAGTGTGGTGGGACGAATACAAAGATTACTTTTATGCCAGTCGGCCAGAGACAAAAGCGTTACCCTACGGAGATATATCTGAGCTGAAAAAATTCCGTGAAGATCACAACTGCAAAAGTTTTAAGTGGTTTATGGAAGAAATAGCATATGATATAACTTCGTATTATCCCTTACCACCTAAAAATGTGGACTGGGGAGAGGTAAGTAAAGCACATAACCTGTACTTATTTTAGGAGCTTTTTTTTTTTAAATTGGGAGTGCAAAAGGAAGCAATTGTTACTTGACAGCAATCTGAGAACAGGCTCCTTGATTACTGCTATACTAAGATATATGATACTAGCCAGACAGCTATAGAGATATAATGCTAGGAAAAATATTGTTGTATACTTTAAGATGTGCGATTTTTTTAATTGGCTCCATAGTTCCTTGAAGGATTATTTTATCTCTAGCCCTGTCTTCAGTTACGTCTAAAGCTCTTTTTTCCATAATTGGAATTTAGGGGGTTTTTTAAAGAAAAAATATGAAACCTATGTGCATAGGAGTATTGACAGAGATTAATAGGTGAAAATCTTCTTCTGTGAAGGCGTAGAGAATAGATAATGAAATCCAGGTGGAGTACATTCTGCCTATGTTTGCTAGCCTGGGATGTATTCATACAGTTACAGCCTCAGTAAATCCCTTATCTGTATGTAATAATTTGATAAGATTCCTTAATAGTCATTTCTAGCATTGGTGTATATGAGTATGACTTAGCTAAGTTAAGAATGTGGTTACAAATTTGGCATTTTTGCATGGTTGACAGAGACAGCATGTCACCAGGCACGTGCAGGACACCTCACTGAACACTTCCCATTTCGTTCTGGCATTAAGCCCACAGCTCGAGGAACTCTTACTGCAGGTCTCCTGCCTGCTTTCAAATTTATTTATTATTTTGCCCTTTTCAGTTGGTTCTAGCCTTGTCCTGCCTCTCCTATTAATTTCACTTTTGCAGATTGTGGAGGCAAAAATCAGAAAATCATCTCACTAGCAGAGGAGGAGTCCTGGTGTCCCACCAAATTTAACAACCTTCTTTCCCAAGATATGATGGACCTGTTTTTGTAACTTCAAGAGAGCATTAGAAAGTACAGATTTATCCTGTTTCCTATGGCCAAGATACTGTCACCTCTAATTTCTCTAAGGAATTAGTGATACAGAGTATATGCATGGTGGAAGGGGGTACAAAAAGTCTTGTATCTGAGGGACCAGGTGAACAATGCCACCTTTATTTCCTACCTAAAAGCTAGCACAAGTCATCAGTTACTAGATTAGCCTTAGACCTCCTTTTGAACTCACATAAAGGGTTAGGAAGGCACGTTATATATTACTATTTGCTGAGGTGAAAGTATCTGAAGAGAATACAGTAATAACGGCCACCTTGCACGAAACCATCCCTGATAAAAGGAGGCAGTTCTGGTGAAGCAACAGGAAAGTCTGAAGTTCAGAGATGTCTCTGAAGACTCAGCCAGTCCTCTTCACTGGCTGCTAGTTATCCTACATCTGAGAAAATTTTTTGCCCACCTATTTGTAACACCACACTAATTGCATTTCCAAATGTCAGGAATGAAAATGGGGGGTTCATCTTCCCTAACACTCGCTCTGGAAGGCAGGTCTAAACTTAGTCCTCCAGACTGTCCTGTACCATCACAAAGAGGAAGGAGGCTCTGGCAAAGAAAATCAGTCTGGAAAGAATGTTATTTGTGTCATAAAGTCTTTGTAAAGCTGTTTGCTGCCCCTTCTGAGAAGGGAACGGGATAATTGGCGGTTGAGGCATGCTTTCTGACAGGACTTTTGTTCTTTATCACTATGCCTGTGCCTACCCCTCATCAATTTTATCTCTCTTTCCTGTCTAATTGCTGCTGCAGAAGGTACTTCAGAGCAGCTGGGTCAGTTGGCTGTGCCTGGCTGCAGTTCGCAAAGGCTGTGCGTAACTTCTCTGCATCACGTTTCTCTCATCCAGAGGATGAGAGCAACTTAGCTAAGCTCCTGCTTTATTTAAGAAGACCTGGGAGGCTGAACACGCTTTGATAGGAGATTGAATAAATTAAGATACTTGAAAGTCCTATGTTTTGGTGTCATTAATTTGGAGCTGAGCTTTGCAACCCTAGCTTCATCAGTGTGCTCTAACTCACATAAGAGCCTGCAAATTAGCATGGGCAGCTTGAAGCTCCATCTCCCAGAATGGTTAACATCAGTATTTAAATTTCATACGCAGGTTTGTCTGTCCTCTCCCTAGCAGATACCTGTTTCTGGTTTGAAAGATAAGTGGGAATTTTCTGAACTCCTTCACGCTTATTTTTGCCTTGAGACTAACTTAGAGTGTAAAACCTCTTTTCCAGATTAGGGGCTTTGAAACTGCTTACTGCATCGATAGCATGGGGCACACCAATGGTGGCTTCGTTGAGCTTGGGCCATGCCACAGAATGGGAGGAAATCAGGTAAGGAGCTTGGAGGCAAGTCTAAAGGAGAATTGCTTGCTGTGGATGATAACAGGCCGGTTTGCTGCTAAGGCTGTACACAAAGTCACTTAGGTGCTAGCTACAAAGATGGGAGTTAGGGATTTTCCATAAACTTACTGACATTGCTAAAATATGGGAATCTAAAAATATCATCTCAAACACAAACGGTACAAAATTGAAGGCAAATTCAAAATCGCTTCTTTGGTGAAACAGATATATGAGGAAGCAAGGACTGTGTTTTAAAGCAGCTGTATCGCTGCATTAGAACAACTGCAGCTCTTAGCATTGGTACTGATTCATTTATCTTTGCTTAATAATTCATCCCTCAGGAAACAACCCCCTTACTCACTTTGTCTCAATTATTTCACAAAGTTTATTTACTCTTGTGGAAGTATAAAACACTTTTGTGCAGGAACTCATCTCCCACCACAGGAGACAAGAAATTCAATACAAATTTGTCTTAGCTTCATTTACTAATTAATTGGCAGAACACAATTACTAATAGATGGTTGCAATCCAAGCTGCTACCATGTTTGACCTCTATCATCACAAACCTACCCACACTACCATGCAAACATGCTGTTCTGTATTTACACCTCCTTTTTCACTTGGAAAACTTTTCAGCATTTAAAGTCCTTATTTAATGCTGATGTAGACTTGACCCAGGCAAATTTTGTCACAGCAGTCGTAAAATCACATGCAGGATGTTGCTTTTAAAAACTGTAGCTGAGTTAGCTCTTAGTAGCCCTTGGAAGTATCTCTTCTATTTTGATATTTAATGAAAAAGGTCCCTAAGCTACATCTACTGTATATGCTACCCCCAAAAACCCTGTAACGATTATTTCATACGAAGTAGCTAGGATAATCTTTTTGTATCTGGATGCATGAGTTTGATTTCCTCCATGGATAAAATGCCAAAGTTTTACTGTCTTCACATGAAATTACTGTCCGGGACCAAGGACTTGCTACCAGACATTTAGAAAGGTCATGGATTGTTTGGCCATCAAATCATACAAAGGTTTTTTAATCAAACAATTTCAGAATTCTGGGATCCCTTTATTTTTATCATTTTTGTCTTGTTAGGTAAGTTTCTTAGACTTCTAAACCCTACAGGGAAGTTCTCCGTGAAACTGAGTGTCGGGATAGTAGAAGTGCGTTACCTCATGTAAAGTCAAGAGCCCTTCTGAAAGATAGGTGTCGTAACACCAGACAATGTTTTTAATGATGCAATTTCTTTTGTATTTTCACCGTTTCTAAAATATTCTTTGCTTTGAGTCAGTTGTTAAGAAGTTGGCTTTTTTGTTTTCTGTTAGCTTTTCCGAATCAATGAAGCTAATCAACTCATGCAGTACGATCAGTGCTTAACTAAAGGACCAGATGGATCCAAAATTATGATTACACACTGTAATCAGAATGAATACAAGGATTGGCAATACTTCAAGGTATGGAACATATATATAGCAGAAAAGATAGTATAATTTGCATCCTGGTTTTTGCACCTTTTTAAATTATTTTTTGTATATATTATTTTTTCTTTTTGAAAATAAAGATCTACGACAAGGTTAACTGACCCAAGTAGAGCAAATTGTTAATTGCGTATTCTTGGAAATCTGTGCTTGCAGCGAAAACTTCCTCTGGGGCAAGATGCTTTTGCTAGCAGTTCTAGTTGCTGTCTTCTGTAGCAGAATCTTTAAGGACAATCTCATGAGGCTACATGTGCTGCCGCAGGTATGTTAGGAGTTAGCACTTGTCTCGCAGGAGCAAAGAGGATGTCCACTACCAGTGACAGTTTCTAAAAGCTTTTTCTGCCATCACCCTCTCTGCTCATATGCTTTCTATAAAGAAAGTTTCTTTATCTAATGGGCACTGTGAGAAGATTACTTAAATGCTGAGGTGCATTTAGCAGCTAGGGTTATTATATTATATTAAGTCATTATATCTAATTTTGGAAAGTCTGAATTGAAGTGTCACTGTTTAAAGACAGAAGATATTTTTACACCTACATGGGAATAGGTAAACATAGCGTTACTCTTTGCATTTTTTTGTTGTCTTTGCCTTCTTCAGTATTTCTTTTTCCTGTTCATCATCCATTCTCTAATAACATGCTGTGTTGTGAATTCTGGGTGTGGTGCCATTATGATGCTATTGCAAAATCTATGAATTTTCAATAAAGACTTGGAATGTTGGCTGATATACATGCGAGGGCTGCTACAGTCTATTTAGTCACTACATCTGTAAGTCCTCTGTTACAAATTCTAGTTTTGAAAGTGTTATTTTAAAAAATGTCTAAGGTTAGATTTCTGTTTGTCTTTTAAAAAATGAGACTGAATAGTCTGAGGATGACATTATCCTTGGATATAGCTCCACATAACTTGGTTCTGTGTCTAAGAAACTCGCCTGTGTCGATTTTTCTGAAGTCTATCTAGCATATAGCATATTTATTAATTCATTAGCTGGTTATCTGGATTGTGTTTGTCTGAAAGATTTAGGCATTGCTGAGTGCAGTGAAATCTGTTTGTTGTCCTTTAAGCCACCCCTCTTTTTCTGATATTTGCATAGAGCTAGGAAAGACGAAGCACCTTAATGCCATTTTCACCCAGCTTTCTTGTGCCGTATAGACAGACAAAATTCTTTCAACCTGAAATTTAAAAATCAATAAGCAGTGTTTTGTATTTACATCTCCTTTTTCACTTGGAAAACTTTTTGGCATTTAAAGTCCTTATTTATGCTGATGTAGACTTGACCCAGGCCAACTTCTGCTTTAATATTAGAATAATACATAGCACTTGCTAACTCTCCAGCCATTCTAGTGTGTCCCAGCATGTTACTTGGCTCTTTACGAAGCATTTCTTTTATGCAAGAAAGATCCATTTCCTCCACCGTGGTACCAAGTTGTGTAATTGTTTGCTTATTTCCACGAGTTATAAGGAAGCCCAGTAGGCATGGTCTGGGCTGTAGGACAAACACTGACTGGCTTCCAGAAGGAAAAAAAAACAGAGGGGGTGAGAGCAAAAGGACCACCAAGGGTGTGTAACCAAGCAGAAACTAAAAATTTGGCACATTCTGCTGTGCAGGATGGAGGGTATGACCGTTTCTCCCAATGAAGAGGGTGTAAGGAATGAAAAGCTTATGAACTGCTGAAAAATGCTGCGGCCTCGTGTAAGCGAAAGCTGCCAGGAGATTTTATCTGGCTGGTTGTTCCTGGCGTGAACGCTTGCGTGCCAGTCGGGTGAGCGTAGCACCTGTGCTGCTTGAGCGCTGAGCAGCCGCAGGGCTTCGGTGCCCGAAAGCGAACCCGCGCTTGTTCAGGCACCTGTTTACCTCTCCGAGTAGAGGACGCCCGCGTCTGGCCGCAGGTGTCGAGCTGAACCGGCATCTGGACGCGCAGGCGCCCGTGGGAGTGACGGGGCGATGGAGAGGGTCCCCATGCCGGGGGGAGCTGG